GCTATTCTTTGGAAGTCTGCATTCAAATGGATATATCTTTCCTTTTCCTCTTTTGCCTTTAGCTTCTCTTCTTTTCTCAGCTATTTGTAAGGCCTCATCAGACAAACATTTTGCCTTCTTGCATTTCTTTTTCTTGGGGATGGTCTTGATCACTGCCTCCTGTACAATGTCATGAACCTCCGTCTGTAGTTCTTCAGGCACTCCGTCTATCAGATCTAAACATTTGAATCTATTTGTCACTTCCACTGTATAATCATAAGGGATTTGATTTAGGTCATACCTGAACAGTCTAGTGGTTTTCCCTACTTTCTTCAATTTAAGTCTGAATTTGTGTGGATCACAACAAACTGTGGAAGATTCTTAACGAGATAGGAATACCAGAGCACCTTACCTGCCTCTTGAGAAATCTGTATGCAGGTCAAGAAGCAACAGTTAGAAATAGACATGGAGCAACAAACTGGTTCTAAATCAGGAAAGGAGTATGTCAAAGCTGTATATTGTCCCCCTGCTTATTTAACTTATATGCAGAGTACATCATGCGAAATGCTGGGCTGGATGAAACACAAGCTGGAATCAAGATTGCTGGGAGAAATATCAATAACCTCACAGACACAGATGATACCACCCTTATGGCAGAAAGTGAAGAACTGAAGAGCCTCTTGATGAAAGTGAAAGAGAAGAGTGAAACAGTTGGCTTAAAACTCAACATTCAGAAAACTAAGATCATGGCATCTGGTCCCATCACTTCATGGCAAATAGATGAGGAAACAATGGAAACAGTGAGAGACTTTATTTTGGGGGGCTCCAAAATCACTGCAGATGGTGACTGCAGCCATGAAATTAAAAGACACTTACTCCTTGTAAGAAAAGTTATGACCAACCTAGACATATTAAAAAGCATATTAAAAATCAGAGACATTACTTTGCCAACAAAGGTCCATCTAGTCAAAGCTATGGTTTTTCCAATACTCATGTATGGATGTGAGAGTTGGACTATAAAGAAAGCTGAGCGCCAAAGAATTGATGCTTTTGAACTGTGGTATTGGAGGACTCTTGAGAGTCCCTTGGACTGCAAGGAGATCCAACAGTCCATCCTAGAGGAAATCAGTCCTGAATATTCATTGGAAGGACTGAGGCTGAAGCTGAAACTCCAATTCTTTGGCCACCTGATGCGAAGAACTGACTCATTGGAAAAGACCCTGGTGCTGTGAAAGATTGAAAGCGGGAGGAAAAGGGGACGACAGAGGATGAGATGGTTGGATGGCATCACCATCACAAAATAGATGGACATGAGTTGAAGTAGGCTCCGGGAGTTGGTGATGGACCAGGAAGCCTGGCGTGCTGCAGTTCATGAGGTCGCAAAGATTCGGACACAACTGAGTGAACTGAACTGAAGGGAGGCATGCTTATTTATTTGTATTCATGCACACACAGACTGGCTCTATAATCTGATTCAATCTGGGTTTTATTTTTATCTATTTATTTATTTTTAATTGAAGGATAATCACTTTACAATATTGTGTCAGTTTTTACCATACGAGGATGAATCAGCCATAGGTATACATATGTCCCTTCCCTCTTGAACTTTCGTCCCACCCCCCTAGAGCCCAGGTTTGAGTCCCCTGAGTCATACAGTGAATTCCCACTGGCTGTCTGTTTTGCATATGGTAATGTGTATGTTTCCATGCTACTCTCTCCATTCTCCATAAGTCTGCTCTCTTTGTCTGCATCTCCACTGCTGCCCTGAAAATAGGTTCATCAGTGCCATCTTTCTAGGTTCCATATATATATGTGTTAATGTATGATGTTTATTTTTCTCTTTTTGATTTACTTCACTCTGCACATGTTTGTAGAGCTGATATTGGCAGTGGCAGCATAGCAGACCCTGCCCCAGGGTGAGATTAAGGCTGTGATGAGTCTCGAGTCTTCATGAGGTTCCCCGGAACCACCTGCCTGTCACCCCGGTGTCTTCTTTCCCCTCTGAAGTATCTGCTTTCAATCTTTCATGCATCGTGGGACCAGCCAACCTCAGGAACCATCTTTTTCTTTTTTTAAGACCCACTCAGAACTTCCCACATAATTCCCCATCAAGTACACCTTTGCTGCTGCTCAGAGTGTGGACCCCTGTGGGGCCCCCAGGGGCTGGGGAAAAACGAAGCCTTGGGCCCTACCCACCGTCACTTCTTGCCGCTGTTCACTCATCCATTTGCACCACATGGTGTTTGAACCCTTGCAACTCTCAAAGCGTCTGCCTGCTTCCTGGAGAGGGTAAAAAGTATAAGATGGGCTGCTTGCTTCAGAGGTGACTCCCCAGGGGGGGACCGAGCACCCAGCCTTGAAACCAGTACTGGCTACCACGCCAACACCAGCTGCATGCCACACGTCAGGAGCAAAGGGCCGGGGTCCTTAGCTTCTGGAGCCCTGTAACCCAGAGGTGTGATGCCTCTGGTTTTTGTAGAAGAGAAGGCAGACACCCGTGTGATGTGACATCACCTCTTGGAGGAAGACTGTCTGTGTCCGGCCCCTCAAGACGAGATCCGGCCACGACGCCTGAAGTCCAACTGTGCATTGGCATCATCTGAGTCAACTGTTTGAAACGTGGAGGCCCAGGCCCCTCCCCTCATTAGCAGAATCAGGATTTCTCAGCTGGGGCCTCAGCAGTTCTGAGGGGGGCCTCTGCACACACCACGCTCCCAGTGTCCCCAGTTTGCATGTGCTCTGTCCCCTGCAGAGATGGCTCACCCCCCACCAACCCCATCCACCAGGTCAGATAAACCTCACTGATGTCCCGCAGTGCCCGGCTCTCAGCCCTTAGTTTGATTTTCTATTTCTCCACCTGCCCCCCTGGACTGCAGGCTCCCAGAGGTGAGGAGCTGTGTGTCTGCAGCATGTCCCCAATGCCTGGCACACAGTCAGGTCTCACTAAGTGTGTGTGCCATCAAGCCATCAGCCCAGGTGGGATCATAAGTATTTGGTCCCCTCCTACTGTTCTCCACAGCCTCGCCCAGCCCTGAGTCCTCCCTGCCGGGGCCCCAGCCCCTTTGCTCTGGTCTGCCCACGGTTGGCACCACTGGACCCCTTTGCACGGCCGGCCTCGCCCGGGCCTCTAGGGTTCCAGCAGCGGCACCTGGGCTGTCCGTCAGGTTGACCTTGGGCAGCTGAGCTTCCGTCTCCCTTGTTCTTGAGCCTTTTCTCCCCACCTCATGCTGCAGTTAATGGTGACCTGCTGCAGTTAATGGTGACCTGCATCTCTCTCCCGCTTTTTACCTCTCATCCCCCTGTCTGGGGCCATGATTTCTTCTCCCTCATCCCCAAAGCACAACTGTTCTCTGATGACATAGAATCCTACACCTGCTGTCAGAGCCTCCTACACTGCCCAGAACTGCCTGCACAGAAGTTGGGGCTCCTGTATTCCCAGCCTCCTTCCAGCTTTGCTCTGACTGTTAGGACCCTCTTCCCTGTTCCTTTGCTGGCTGTATGTTGGCCTGTGATGACCACCCCTCCATCTTCCCCGCACAGACTCTGACCTCCCAGCCTAGGTTTCCCCTGCTCTCCACCATCGCAGCTATGCCATGGTCCCCCGCCCTTATACTTGATAAATCTATTCTTAATATTTTTTGGAAGAGACCCTGATGCTGGGAAAGATTGAAGGCAGGAGGAGAAGGGGGCAACAGAGGATGAGATGGTTGGATGGCATCACCAACTCAATGGCCATGAATTTGAGCAAGCTCAGGGAAGCCTGGTGTGCTTCGGTCCACGGAGTCGCAAAGAGCTGGACATGGCTGAACAATGGAACAACAACAATCCTTAATATCCCATTCTTTTTCATTTATTTTATTGATGTCTAGTTGATTTACAATGTTGTGTTAATTTCTTCTGTATAGCAAAGTGACTCATATATACATATATACGTTCTTTTTCACATTCTTTTCCATTACGGGTAATCACAAGATATTGAATATAGTTGCCTGAACTCTACAGTAGGACCTTTTGTTTATCCATTCTATGTGTAATAGTTTGCCTCTGCTAATCCCGAGCTCCCACTCCATCCCGCCCGCTGCCTCCCACTTGGCAACCACAAGTCTTTCTCTATGTCTGTGAGTCTGTCTCTGTTTTGTAGACAAGTTCATTTGTGTTGTATTTAGATTTTACATGTATGTGCTATCATGTGACATTTGTCTTTCTCTGTCTGACTTCATGTGATAATCTCTAGGTCCATCCATGTTGCTAGAAATGGCATTATTTCAGTCTTTTGATGGCTGAGTAGTATTCCATTGTATATATGTACCACATCTTCTTTATCCATTCCTCTGTTGGTGGACATTTAGGTTCTTTCCATGCCCAGCTGTGAACATAGAGGTACGTGTATCTTTTTGAATTTTGCTTTGTCTGGCTTAATATGGCATTCTTAAGTATCCCATTCTTAAATATCACATACTGTAGCTCAATAAATATTTGTCAATAGATGAGAAGATGGATGGTTGAATGGAGGTGGGTTGGATGGATAGGTGGATGGTTAGAAGAGAGCAGGAAGATGAAGGATGGATAGACAGACAAGTGCACTGACAGATGGATAGATGAATGGTTGGACAGATGGAGTAGTGGATGGATAGAGAGAGAGAGAAATACAGTAAGTCGGTTGAACTATCTCAAGCCTGAATGCCCAACACCTGCAGCAGAGATGACTAGATCAGCTCAGAGAGACATCTAGAAAAGTCACCAGTGTGCTGAGACCACAGTCTACAAAGCAGGAGGGAGAGGCCCCGCTCACAAGGCCGTCCAAGCTCAGAGTGCTTGGCCCCAACCTTTGATGGGAACTGGATGGACAGGCCACGGACAAACTGACCATACCCCCGGTCACAGCCAGCGCTTCCCTTGCAGGTCAACATCACTGCTGGGCTGGCTTCCTTCTCTGTAAAGTGGGATGTCATTCACTGAACCTATGTGTGGGACTTTCCTAGGGGCTGCTGTCACAGGTTACCTCCAACCCGCTGCCTTACCCTAGCAGAAGTGTATTCCCTCCCTGTTCTGGAAACCAGGAGCCAGGAATCCATTTCAGGGCCAAAATTCAGGGTCAGCACAGTCATGCTTCCTCCGGCGGCTCCAGGGAGAACCCATTTCCTCACCCTTTCCAGCATCCCGTGGCTGCTGTCTTTTCTTGGCTTGTGGCCCCATTACTCAATCTTTGACCACATGGCTTATACTCTTCTCTGTGTGAAATCTTCCACTGCCTCTGTCTTAGGACACTCGTGATCACATTAGGGCCCGCCCAGCTCTTCCAGCATAATCCCCTCATCTCAAGATGCTTAGCCTGGCCACATCTGTAAAGTCCTATTTGAACCATATAAGGGAACATTCGGAGGTTCCCAGGATTAGGAATTAGGACATGGTCTTCAGAGGCCATAGTCCAGTCTGCCATAGCATCCCATAGGATACTCAGTCACTGCTCCATACGTATCAGCTATCTCAGTAGCAACCATTATCCAGCACTGCACTGACCATGGAGAAGGCAGTGGCACCCCACCCCGGTACTCTTGCCTGGAAAATCCCATGGACGGAGGAGCCTGGTAGGCTGCAGTCCATGGGGTCGCTAGGAGTTGGACACGACTGAGCGACTTCACTTTCAATTTTCACTTTCATGCATTGGAGAAGGAAATGGCATCCCACTCCAGTATTCTTGCCTGGAGAATCCCAGGGACGGGGGAGCCTGGTGGGCTGCCGTCTATTGGGTCTCACAGAGTCAGACATAACCGAAGTGACTTAGCAGCAGCAGCAGCAGCAGCAGCACTGACCATCTGAGAAATGGGGGGGAAGAAAAATGTTGTTCTCCTCTGAGTCTAGAAAAGAGAATCGTGACTGTCTCACGCGTTTGTTTGGAAAACACAAACATCTGCTGTTTGTCTGACTGAGGGCCACCCCCCACCGTTTTGTGGCCACAGTCACTGCGGTCACTTCCCTCAAAGGGTCAGTCAACAGAGTGTACTGAGAAAGCTGCTTGGGGGAACTGTTTGCTGCCCCAGAGCTTGCGGACCGGCAAAGCAGAAGGCAGCCAGCCATGGCGGGATTATTCAGAGTCAAGAGAACCTGACCCAGCAAACACTCAGGAGGAACGGAACCCACTTCCAAGCGAGCTGCTGGACGCCAGAGAGACCGCAGCTCGTGCCAAGACCCCGGAGCCTTCCCAGGACACGGCCCTTGAGATGCAGATTGAAATGCCATCTGGTTTCTGCCCTATGTCTGACCTGAAAAAAAAAAACCACTTTGAGAGATGGAAGTGGGGGTAGAGAAAAGGATAAGGAACACTTCTGGGAAAATAGCATGTGTTTTTCCATGTATTTTTTGTCATTTTAGAGCAACTTCGTTAACCCCTCCCAGGCTTGAAGAAATTCACTTCTTTTCAGATTCAAATTAATCCCAATGACAGATGCGTCACTGGGAAATTTTAATAGGGGCTGGATATTAAAGGTGATATTGTTTCTTTTTAAATTTTTATTGAAATATAGTTGATTTACAATGTTGTATTAGTTTCAGATGTACAGCAAAATGATTCAAAAATATATTCATTATATATATTTTATATATGTGTGTGTGTGTGTGTGTGTGTGTGTGTGTGTGTGTGTGTACCCAGTCACTTCAGTCGTGTCTGATTCTTTGAAACCCCATGGACTCTAGACTGCTAGGTTCCTCTGTCCATGGGATTCTCCCAGCAAATATACTAGAGTGGGTTGCCATTTCCTTCTCCAGGGGATCAAACCCACGTCACCTGCATTGCAGGCGGATTCTTTACCATCTGAACCACCAGTGAAACTCACACATATATATGTTCAGTTCAGTTCAGTTCAGTCGCTCAGTCGTGTCTGACTCTTTGCAACCCCATGAATCGCAGCATGCCAAGCCTCCCTGTCCATCACCAACTCCCAGAGTCTACTCAAACCCATGACCATCAAGTCGGTGATGCCATCCAGCCGTCTCATCCTCTGTCGTCCCCTTCGCCTCCTGCCCTCTATATGTATATATGTATGTGTATATATGTATGTGTATATATAGGCACATATATATGCATACATGTGATGACCTTCCCTGGTGGCTCAGACGGTAAAGAATCTGCCTGCAATACAGGAGACCTGGGTTCAACCCCTGGGTTGGGACCTCCTTCTGAAGGAGGGCATGGCAACCCACTCCAGTGTTTTTGCCTAGAGAATCCCCACAGGCAGAGGAGCCTGGTGGGCTACAGTCCATAGGGTCTCAAAGAGTTGTACATAACTTAGCGACTAACCACGCACACGCACGCACACACACATTCTTTTTAAGATCCTTTTCCATTATACGTTATTACAAGATATTGAGTGTAGTTCCTTGCTCTGTACACTAGGTCCTTGTTGGTTATATGTTTTATATAGTAATATATAAATATTATATATATATATATATCTAAAATATAAATAAATATATAAATATATAGTAGTAATATGCTAATCCCAAACTCCTAGTTTATCCCTCTCCCCATTCCCCTTAGGTTCATTTTCTATGCCTGTGAGTCTATTTCTGCTGGTAAATAAGTTCATTTGTGTCATTTTCATATTCTACATATAAGCAATATCATATTTGTCTTTCTCTGTCTGACTTCACTTAGTATGACAATCTCTAGGCCCATCCATTTCCTGCAAGTGGCGTTATTTCGTTCTTTTTTATGGCTGAGTAACATTTCATTGTGTATGTATACAACATCCTCTTTATCCATTCATCTGTTTCTGGACAATTAGCTTGCTTCCATATCCTGGCCACTTTAAATAGTGCTGCAGTGAACATTGTGTGTGCATACATCCTTTTGAATTATACTTTTCTCTGAATATATGCCCAGGAATGGGATTGCAGGGACATATGCTAGCTCCGTTTTCAGTTTTTAAGGAACCTCCATACTCCACCAACTCACATTCCTATCAATGAAAAAAGAGGGTTCCTCTTTCTCCATATTGTCTTTGCCATTTATTATTTGCAGACTTTTTTGATGATGACCATTCTGGCCCATGTGAAGTGGCACCTCACTGTAGGTTTGATTTGCATAAAGAATGTTTCTTTGGTGTTATACTAGCATTGGGATTCTGGAGGGGAAGTCTAACGTATTTGTGTGTGGTCTGTGAACACACCTTCAAGTTTTCTTTCAAACAGATCCACAGATACATAAACACAGACCTCTGAAGCAAATATGGCACATGGGTAACAGCTGTTGAATGTGAGTGGTGGGGAAACCCTGGTGTCCACCACTCTCAATGCCTCTGCATGTCTGAAGTCTTCATAACACCAAGTTATGGGGTAGAGAAAGGAAAGACGGTTAAGGGAAGCAAAGAGTTCCGCTGAATACTGTTCAAGGCCCAGCTGGATGGGCTGAGGCACCATTTAAGGTTGAAAGGAAACCTTCAGAGACCAGAGGCTCCTAGGAACAAAGGTATAAAATCTGGGCTTCTGGGGCAAGGAATAAAAAATGAAGGAGATGGGACGGGGAGAGGACGCGGTGGCGAGGCGCTTTCCTGGCGTAAGGACATTGGCGGGACCCGAAGCCAGAGCACCAGTGGGGCGGTGGGGGACTGCGCAGCGCTGGCGAATCGCTGGGTGCAGCTCGGTACATCAGATGCCGGCCAAGGGCTGTGTTAAAGGTCGGTCAGTAGCAGGAAACGGGGTGGGTTCTCAGAGTTTCAAGTGCAGCTGCTCTGAGTCTGCTGTGTTGGGGGAGTTTGCTCTGTCCCTTTTAACGCAGAAGAAAAGGGAGACCTGGATTTCCAGGGGGAAAAGCTCCACAGGGCTCCTGCAGTCAGGGGCTTTTAGGCTGTAGTAGACATTGAGGCTGACACACTCAGCCTTCCTCTCCCCACTCTCCATCTTCAGTCTGACCCAATCATCACTCCCACCCCTCCAGGTGATTGGCTCAGGATGGGACATGTGACCAGTTCTGGCTAATGAAATGGAAGATGGCAACGGCCAGTGGCCTTCTAGGAGAACCTCCTGATTTCCAGGAAGGCACCACGGAAGAGATGGTCTCTCTTCTTCCGTGATGCCTGGAACCACGGCCGCCATCTTGTGACCAGCATGAGGACAAAGCCAGCGTCATGGTGGGCAAGACAGGGCGACAGGAAGGACCTGGCTCCTTGACGCCACCTCTGGGCCATGGACCAGCCAAGCTTGAAGCCTACCTGTAACTTCCTGTTACGTGACATCATACATATCCTTATTCTGGAATTCTGTCGACTTCCATTCCCGTTCCTGATACAAGACCAGGAAGCTGAAGCTGTGCTTGTGGGCATGGTGCTTTTGCCCGAGTCAGGGAAGCCTGTGGAGTGGGCTGCAGTTGGTTTTCAACCCCAACTGGCCCCTGACTCCAGGAACCCCCACGCAACGGACAACCCACACAGCGGTCACAGAGAACATCTGGCAAAGTCCCCAGGTCCCCCTGCCAGACTGGTAGTCTGAGAGACCGAGAGCTCCCGCCCTCCATTCCGGATAATTCTGGCCTCAGAAAAGTTCAGGTGGGGGCGGGGGTGCCAAGGGCTGAGTGCAACCCCCCCACCACCACAGCTCAGTCCGCCCTTCGTGTGTGCTTTGTTTTGAGCAATTCACATTTCCTCGAGTCTTACAAAGTGCTATTTCAGTGCAACTTCAAGCCCTACCCCACTTCCTTTCCAACCAGAGTGACCCTTGCATAGCCCTGATGGAAACCGTGGAGCCGACGAGGCTGGGGCCTGAGCACCTCCGACCGTGCTCCCCCTTGCGTCTGCCCCACCTGGCCCGGGGCCACTGCCCGCTCTTGGCTCAGCTGCGGAACCCATGGTGGGTGGGTACAAGTTTCCCACAGAACGTCCTCAGCCCCACACAGATGTTTCCTGGGAGGATCCAAGCCTGCTCTGCTGGCCTCCCCCAGGATTCGGGCTCCCTGACCCAGGAAGTGAGAGATCGCGGGTAGGGCCAGACCAGGGGAGGTGGAGCCAGATGGAGTTCAAGGTTCAGGATGGTATTTTGGTCTTGACTCCTGGGGCTTCAAGAGAGAGGTGGCCAAGGCCCTCAACTTCTGTTTCTCACTTGAAGAGGAGACGGT